CCCCTGAGCTGTCTCTGTGTGCATAAACAGCCCTTCTCTTCTCCCATGATTGTTCTCTCCAAGGAGTATATCCCTCAGGTAAATGTTCAACTCATATGCCTGTCTTTTGCTTGGCATAGGTGTGTCTACAGGTGTGGATTCAATTCCAGATCTGAAGGGCAGCTAGGGGCCATAGTCTCAGTGGTTCCACCAGGCTCTATGACACCAGAAAACCTGGACCCTTTTTTGTTCCCACCAATGATTTTAGGTTTTGTTCCACATTGTTCTCCCTCTCTATCCAGGATCTCCTACATAGATCCCCCTCCGAGTGGTTGACAGTGGTAGCTGGGCACCATCTAGTTCTGGTCTCATAGTCATACAGGCTGTGGATTGCATGGTGTACCAGTGGCTAGGACTAATTCTTTCCATGAGTCTTTGGTTTTCTTCATTCTTCTTTGCTCTGGACGTGGAGAGACCCATCATTGCATCTAGATGGCTGTTGAGTAACACGTTTTTAAAACTCCAACCTGATAGTTTAATGTAAGAATTCTGTCCATTCACACAGTGAGCATACTTGACTTTATTTCTTCCGTTTAATATACGTTCATTCTTTTCATTGTACCCTACTTTCCTTTTTCCTTGTTAATTCTATGACACTTTTCCATCTCCATATAGGTGGCAGTTAAATTCTTCTATGTTCCTGCTGTCTATCTTTTACATTTGGGCTTTAAGGGCACCAAAGGGAATCCAAGTCTATCTTCATATATTGCTAGTTTGTTAACAATACTTTTGGACCAGGGGATCTTTCTGCAAAGAATCAAGAATATGCTGCATTTTGTGCCATCCAGTTCAGTCACTTGTTTGTTCTCAAGCCTTATGCAAACTTTGCCTTAGAGATAATCATGGTAGATGGGGCACTTTGTGATGCACTATCACCAGGTCACAAAAAGTTTTCACTGGGGGCATAAACTGTGCCAACAGAACACTACTCTCTCCAATGGCTGTATAGGGCCTCACTCAAACAATAGTGCTAACTTAACTTGGTAACTATGCCCCATGCATGGTGGTGGGATAGTTTTATGTTGTTGTTGTTGTTAGGCACCATCGAGTCATCTCCGACTCATAGTGATCTTATGTACAACAGAACGAAACACTGTCCGGTCCTGTGCCATACTCACAATCCCTGCTATACTCGAGCCCATCGTTGTAGCCACTGTGTTAATCCACCTTGTTGAGGGTCTTTTCTTGTCTTGCTGACCCTCCACTTTGTGTTGATATCCTTCTCCAAAGAATGGTCCCTTCTGACAATATGACCAAAGTAGGTGAGATGAAGTCTGTGTAGCCTTAAGGGAATGCTTTTGTCACATTTCCAGATCCAATCATAGTTGCAGAACCAAGTTAAGTACAAGCCAGCAACTTATTTACATTTAGCTTTTGAAGTCATCATTGTTGTTAGTTGTCTGATTTGATTCCAACTTTTGGTGACCCCATGTGTGGAGAGTGAACTGCTCCATACCATTTTCAAGATTGTGACCTTTCAGAAGCAGATTGCTAGGTCTGTTTGCCAAGGTGCCTTTTGGCTTGGGAGTAAGCATCAGGAGTAGGAATGGGTGGTACAGGTCTGTGTTTGTGGGCATGGACAGACTGAGAGAAAATGTGTGAATCCTGAGCAAGAGCCAAACTCAAGTGGAGAGTGGGCAACGGTCATGGAGGGAGACCAGGGAAGAAATCCTCTGACTCACTGATGTGCACTGGACAGAAGTCAGTTCAGAATTTTTGTTTCTGACTTTGTGTCAGCTTGTTTTATCCCCACCATTTCCTTTTCCAGGTTTCATAGTTTATGTATTCTTACATCTAAACACATAATTTCTAAAGTTTTCTTTCCTGTAATAAATAATATACCCCCAAATCAAAAAAATACCTGTTGCTGTTGATTCCGACTCATAGTAGCCCTTTAAGACAAAGTAGAGTAGAACAGCCCCATAAGGTTTCCAAGGCTGTAACCTTTACGGAAGCTGACTGTCACATCTTTTTCCCCTAGAGTGCCTGGTGAGTTTGAACTACCAATCTTTTAATTATCAGCTGAGCACTCAACCACCACATTACCAGGGCTCCTTCCTTCTTCTCCACCTGTCCCACATTTTCAGGGTCATTGTCTTTTGTACTGCAGAATTCTCCATAGGCCTTCCTCGGCGTTCAGAGTATCATCAGTCCCAAACCCTTTGGGTGCTGAAAGACAGCCAGTTTTGTATTTTTCTTGAATGATTGAACCAAATACATCAGAATTTATTCACTTCCAAGTTTTAAGCAAATAACAAAGAACCACTGTGCCTGGCCGAATAATTTTCCCCAAAGATATCCAGGTTTTAATCCCTGGGAACTATGAATGTTACTTTATATGGCAAAAGAAGCCTTTGTAGATGGAATTAAGAATCTTGAGGTGGTGAGATAATACTGGATTATCTAGCTTGTCCCTAAATATAATCACAAGGGTCCTAAGTAGAGAGAGAGGGAAATGTGACCAGTGAAAAAGGAAATGATATGAAGACTGAAGCAAGATGCTATGCCACTGGAGAAAAGGTCCATGAGCCAAAGAACGTAGCTCTAAACCCTGGAAAATGCATGCATGGCCTGGATAATATTTTCAGTCCTTTGAAACGGATCTCAATATTATGACTTCAAGAATGCTGAGAGAACAAACAAATGTTGTTTTAATACACCAAGTCTATGGCAGTTTGTTACAGCAGCCACAGGAAACTAACACTCACTTTATCAAGTTTACATTTTTTTGAAAAGCCTAGGTTTAACATTACTTACCCTACTTATCTGTCAGTTTGTTGTCACTGTGATGGCTTGTGTGTTGTCATGATGTTGGAAGTTATGCCACTGGCATTTCAAATACCAGCAGAGTCACCCATGGTGGACATGTTTTAGTGGAGCTTCCAGACTAAGACAGACTAGGAAGAAGGATGTGGCAGTCTACTTCTGGAAAAAAAATTAAAAATTAGGCAGTGAAAACCTTACAAATAGCAACAGATAACTGTCTGATATAGTGCTGGAAAACGAGCCTCTCAGGTGGGAAGGTGCTCAAAATATGACTGGGGAAGAGCTGCCTCCTCAGAGTAGAGTCAACCTTAATGATGTGCATGGAGTAAAATTTTCAGGACTTTCATTTGCTGATGTGGTCCAACTCAAAATAAGAAATAGCTGCAAACATCCATTAATAATCAGAGCATGGAATGTACTATGTATGAATTAGGAATACTGGAAATCATATGTGTTCCATTTCATTTTTGATGAATTCCAATATTCCTAATGCAGAAATTGAACATTTTTACCAACTTCTGCAGTCTGACATTGATCAAACATATAATCAAGATGCATTGAGAATTACTAGTGATTGTACTGCAAAAATTGGAAATAATCAGTAGTTGGAAATTATGGCCTTGGTGACAGAAACAACTCTGGAAATACATAGATGACACAACCTTGCTTGCTGAAAGCAAAGAGGATTTGAAGCAATTACTAATGAAGATCGAAGACTATAGCCTTCAGTATGAATTACATCTCAATATAAAGAAAACAAAAATTCCTCACAAGTGGACCAAACAGCAACATAATGATAAATGGAGAAAACATTGTTGTCGTCAAGGATCTCATTTTACTTGGATCCACAACCAAAACCCATGGAACCAGCAGTCAAGAAATCAAACAACATATCGCACTGGGCAAATCTGCTGCAGAAGACTTCTTTAGTGTTAAAAAGCAAAGATATCACTTAGAGGACTGAAGTGTGCCTGACCCAAGCCATGGTATTTCCAATCATCTCATACACATGTGAAAGCTGGATAATGAATCAAGAAGTCCAAAGAACGATGCATCTGAATTGTGGTGTTGGTGAAGAGTATTAAATATACCATGGAATGAACAGATTTTTCTTGGAACAAGTGCAGCCAGAATGTTTCTTAGAAGCCAGGATGGTGAGACTTCCTCTCGCGTACTTTGGAGAGACCAGCCCCCTGGAGAAAGACATCATGTTTGGTAGAGGGTCAGCAAAAAAGAGGAAGACCCTCAGAGATGGATTGACACAGGAGCTGCAACAATGGGCTCAAGGAAAATGATTGTTAAGGATGGCGCAGGACTGGGCAGTGTTTCACTCTGTTATGTATGGGGTCGTTATGAGCTGGAACCAACTCAACAGCACCTAACAACAGAACATTAGTTAAACAATGGTCAACTCTTAACACCTCACCGGCATTTATGTGACTACAAGCCATCCCTAATTTATTTTAAACCAAAAGTATTATCATTAATGTATTCATGTTTTTCATGAAACTACACCTGTTGCCAAACCCATCACTGTTGAATTAATTTATTCATCGTGCTCTCATGTGCATCAGAGTAGAACTTCACTCCATAGATCTTCAATGGTTGTAATCTCATGAAAGCAGATCACCAAAAGCCTTTCTTCCATGGCACTGCAGCCTGGCTTTGAACAGTCAACTTTTCAGTTAGAAGTAATTTTTGCTAGCCAGACATCTTATTTATCACTAAAACCCAAACTCACTGCCAGGGAGTCGGATCTGACTCATAGTGACCATTCCTTGGGTGTCCAAGGTGGTATCACTATGGAAGTAAATTGCTCAACCTTCTAAAATACTTAACTAATGCAATTCATCTTGACACTGTTAACTTCACAACAAACCACCAGGGTCACACTCTAAACAAAATGGAGAGGCAACGTCCAGGTTGCTGTGGGTGAAATTTTGTCATAGCCCTATGAAATGCTCACCACCTGCACTGGGGTTAAGTTTAATAAATAGCAAAATGCATACAGGTATTTACAACAGTTTCAAAGACAGAGGTCCTATTCATGTGGTCCCAACAATAATGACAAACAGGCATTTGCATGAACTGTTTATAAATTCTGGAGCACAGCTGGTTTGAAAGTAGAGTGCATGTACAATCTTCAAAAAATGTTCTATTCCTGAAAAAATGCTTTACGTCAAAGATGGACGACATCACTGAGTATCAATGTGCAGCAACTGCTCCTTGCCATTGATTATCAGGGACTTCAACTCTCCGTCTTCTTCCACTTCCACCCTTTCTTGGCCATTCTCAATGATTCTCTTGGTGGTGATTTTTTTGCCATTCAATATTTCAGTGGAAGTCGACACGGATTTGAAGTTGGTGGTGCCACCACTACCACAGGACATGGAGAAGGAAGAGAGGCCCCCACCTCCCATGGAACCAAAGGAAGTCAGTCCTGCATCAAAAGAAGAAAAAGCACCCCCAAAAGTTGGAAATTCACTGAAAGGGGAGAAAAGTGGTGCGTACCCTCTGCTTCGGCTTCCCCGGGAGCTTCTCCGACTCCCAAAAATGTTCTCAAGCGAGTCTCCAAAGAAGTCAAACGAAAACGGGTCCCTGCCACCGAAAAACTCCCTGAAGACCTCGGCCGGGTCACGGAAGGTGAAGACGTAGTCAAAGGGGTCCTGGAAGGGGCCGCCACCGCCACCATCCACGTCTGTTTTGCCGTATCTGTCGTAGACGTCCCGTTTCTTGGCGTCTGACAACACCTCGTAGGCCTCGGCCACTTCTTTGAACTTCCTCTCCGCTTCCTCCTTGTTCTCAGGATTTTTGTCCGGGTGCCACTTGAGCGCCAGCTTGCGGTACGCCTTCTTGATGGCATCCGACGAGGATTGCCGGGTTACACCCAGCACCTCATAGTAGTCCACCATGTTGGACGTCAGGGTAGGCAGGGGTGGCAGCCCAGCAGAGCGCCCCGCGGCTCGGGCGGGCCTGGGGCCACGGCAAGGCGACCGGCGCGGCTGGTAACCCCAGGGCTGGGACCAGGTACTCACCGTGACTAGGCTGGGCACAATGGTGCTCCCTGTGACGCAGGCAGCATGTCATTGGTCGAGGGCGACTTAGACTCCACAACCCAGAATGCAGCGCGCCTGGGGCCGGCTCCATTTCCTACCACGGCACTTGTGACGTTATCGTGCTGGGATGAGGCCACGGGGCTCATCCTGGCCTCGCCCACCCGACTTGGCCTGCCCACTTCCGCTTCCAGACTTAGTGTTCACAGACAGTATTTAGTAGGGGAATATAATCTACGTCTGTGGTGATACCGCCTTGGAAAGCCAAGGAGGGGTCCGTATGTGTCAGATCTGACTCTACTGCAGTGAGTTTTTATTTTTTTTAGTGGGTCTTGAAAGAGCTCAGGCAGTGTGGTAGTTAAGAGCTTGGCTGTTAACCAAAAGATCAGCAGTTTGCATGTACTAGACACTTTGCCCGAAAAGGATGTGGCAATCTGCTTCCATAACGATTTCTGTTGTTAGGTACTATTAAGTAGGTTGGACTCATAGCAACCCTTTGTACAACAGAGCAAAACACTGCCTGGTCCTGCGTAATTCTCATAATTGTGTTTGAGCCCATTGTTGCAGGCACTGTCAATCCATCTCATTGAGAGTCTTCCTCTTTTCACTGATCCTCCGCCTTCACAAGCGTTATATCCTGCTCTAGGGACTAGTCCGTCTTGATAACATGACCAAAGTACATGAGATGAAGTCTCACCATCCCATCCTGGCTTGTAAGGAGCATTTTGGCTGTACTTCTTCCAAGCCAGATTTGTTTGTTCTTCTGTAAAAACTATTCTTGTTGGGTGCTGTCCAATCGACTGTGACTCATAATGGCCCTGTGTGTAATGGAACGAAACACTGCCAGGTTGAGTGCCATCCCCACAGTCCTTGCTATGCTTGAGCCCATTGTAGCCACTGTGTCAATCCATGTCATTGAGGGTCTTTACCTTTTTCACTGACCCTCCCCTTTACCAAGCGTGATGTCTTTCTCCAAGGAATTGTCCCTTCTAACCACATGACCAAAGTAGGTAAGACAAAGTCCATGCATTTTTTTGTTGCTTCTAAGGAGCGATCTGGTTGTAATTTTTCCAGAACAGATTTGTTCATTCTTCTGTCAGTCCTTGGTATTTTCAGTATTCTTTGCCAAAACCACAATTCAAAGTCATCAATTCTTCTTCGGCCTTCCTTATTCATTGTCCAGCTTTCATATACATATAAGGATATTGAAAATACTGTGGCTTGAGTTAGGCTTCAATGTGATATCTTTGCTCTTTAACACTTTAAAGAGGTATTTTGCGGCATATTTGCCCAGTGCAATACTATGTCTGATTTCTTGACTACTGTTTCCATTGCTGTTGATTGTGGCTCCAAGTAAAATGAAATCCTTGACAACTTCAGTCATTTCTTCATTTATCATGATGTTGCTTATTGGTCCAATTGTGAGGATTTTTGTTTTCTCATACCGAGGTATAGTCCATACTGAAGACTATAGTCTTTGATCTTCATCATAAGTGCTTCAAGTTGTCATCACTTTCAGCAAGTAAGGTTGTGTCGTCTGCATATCACAGTTTGTTAATAAGTCTTCCTCCAATCTTTAATGCTGTGTTGTTCTTCATATAGTCCAGTTCCTTGGATTATTTGTTCAACATACAGATTAAGTAAGTATGGTTAAAGGATACAACCCTGACACATACCCTTCCAGGTTTTAAACTATGCAGTATCCCTTTGTTCTGTTTGAGCAATGGTCTCTTGGTCTATCATTCATGCTACATCCTCTTCTGAATCTAACTTGAATCATCTCTATGCCATAGGCTTTTTTAGCTAGTGGACCTTGAAGGAGCCCTGGTGGCACAATGGTTAAGCACTAGGCTGCTGACTGAGAGGTTAACAGTTCGAACCTACCAGCAGCTCCATGGGAGACAATCTGCTTCTATAGATTATAGCCTAGAAAAACCTATGGGGCAGTTCTGCTCTGTCCTATAGGGTTGTTATAAGTCAAAATTGGCTCAATGACATCTGACAACAACAGTGGGCCTGACTCTGGGGAAAACGTTTTTCTTAGGAACCAAAACCAAACCCAGTGCCACTGAGTCATAAATGTTTATCAAGCAGGGTGTCTTATCTTTCTCCCAAGAAGCCACTGGTGGGTTTGAACCATCAACCTTTTGGTTAGCAGCCCAGTGCTTTAACACAGCACCACCAGAGCTCCTTGTCTTTCTTAAAGTAGGTTTTAATGTCAGGCTTTTCCCTGTGGCTCAGGATAGGGAGAGGGTGATGGGAGTCAGTTCAGTCTGACCCAGAGCTCAAGAAAAGAACAGTGATACCATTCGTCTAGGACAGCACGTCTCACATGTTTTGGCCCCAGGACCCATTTGCTTTTGTTTTTGTGAGTTATACCTTTCATTACTTCCTGCATTAGAAAGGAAAACAGAGAATTAAAATTATTCATGAAGCAATTCCATAACAATAAACAAAAACCACTGTATGCTAACTATATGCTATATTTGCTGTCGAGTCAGACCCAACTCATAGCGTCCCCTCCTTGGGTTTCTGAGGCAGTGTCACTATGGAAGTAGATTGCCCCATCTTCCTTCCAAGGAGTGGTTGGTAGATTTGAACTGCCAGCCTTCTGGTTAGCAGTCAAGTGCCTTAGGCGCTATGCTACCAGAGCTCCTATATGCTAACATAGACTGTGTTTTTATTTTTTAAAAAGGTGTATTTTTCAAAACCTCAAAAACTTTATGAAGAGAGGGGCCTGGTTTTACATGTCTTCACAATTCTCTTAACGATCTGGTTTAGTAGAAGAGAGCAGGATTCCCATATTTGCTTTTTTGTTTGACTTATTGCTTTCATGTCATAGAGTCTCTGGAAAAATCCACTGAACACTTACGGGAGAAAGAGAGTGAACAAGGCAACTGGACATCATTATTATGGAAATAGTTTTGACTTGGCAAAATTCCCCTGAAAAATTCATGGGGATTCCCAGGGTTCCCTGGATCATCCTTTGAGAACCTGTGGTCGAGTGTATTCAGATCTACTGGCCTAATTTAGGGTTCTGTGGCTGGCCTTGGGACACAGTGATTAGTTCCTCTAAAGCTTCTTCATCCTGACCATGATTTTCTCTTTGGCATTTCTGGTGTCTGACAAGATGGCCGATGTCTGGCTGCTTGTTGAGTTTTCTGCTTTCTCATTGTTCCCTTTGATACTATGTTCTTCTTCTTCTTCTTTTTTTTTTTTTGATAAACTGTGAGGCAATAGCAACACAAGTCACTCAGTTCCAAAAGGAAAATGATTAACCAATGAACTTTCTAACATTCATCATAAAGGGTAGTAGATTCAAAGGCAGAGGGTTGTTAACCTCATCTGAAAAAACTGTGGACTTTATCTTACCTGGAGAGAATGAACAAGTCCTTACTTGGCACTTGTTAAGTAATCAGGAATAGTAAGGTCCAGTGTGAACTAAGCAAAGTGGGAAGGTACAGATCATGTTGGGAGGGACAAACGAGGCCAAATGGCAGTAGGGCAAAGGACAGAGGAGAGGTTACAGAGAAGGGCTAGAGAGTAGGAATGAGTTCGGACAGACGGTTTGACGACCATTCTTAGGGAGTTCCAAAGGCAGGGCTGTGGAGTTGGAATTTTATTCTAGGCCGTGGGAAGTTGTTGGCCAAGGTTGCAGAGGTGGTGGTGGGGTAGGGTGGGGTCGGGTGGGGTGGGGTAGGGGTCAGCTTATGTTGTGAATCAGAAGGGATAGATGGGGGAGTGAGGAGCTGAACCTATAATTTAGGTTGGTGCTCTGAGGTCCTGAAATGGGACCATGGCAGCTAAGTCTGAGAGACAGTGGTGGAATGATTCAGATTCAGCACTTGCTGGGTGTGAGGCCTAGAGCAAAAGGAGTGTTGGAGTGGTGGGCTATTAACTACTGGCTTTGTGGTGAAAAGAGAGCATCTCTTTAATTAGGTGCCAGAATGTTTTCACCAAAACCCAAGTCTTCAATAGCTCCCAAAGCCAGATTATGTAGCTGCCATACTTGTAGGGCTGAGGATGTGCCCTGAACAGGAGTACACCTTACCCTGCCCTGGTATTGCCTGGTCATGAGTTTGTCATTGTCCATTGGACAGCCCCTTCAGGACAGGGACCATTTATGACTTGGTTTTCTAGCCTCAACTCCTAGCATTGTGCCTGGCACACAGTTGAATCCAGACTTTCAATAAATACTTGATGAATGAAGGAATAAGCAATGGATTTTAAGTGTCAGATTTACTTAGGTTCTGGGGGCAGGAGCTCTATTGGACGGCTTAGTAATGGTTCCCCGATGTAATTGTTGAGAGTGAAGGTGGATTGCCTACTATTCAGATTGGTAAACAGCACTCCCTGGCCCAAAACCATCCAGCTACACAGTGGTCTCAGAGAGTTTGGAGGTTCTGCATGATGCAGGGAAGTTATATAATTTCCAGGGGGTGACTGTGTATGTATGCAGTCCCTTTGCCCTCTGTCATCTACTGATGAACTCTCATGGCATCCAACCTTGAGAAGAATTATGACCCCTGAAGTTTAAACTGGGCTTTGAATTTCAGGATAGCAGATAATGCATACCAAAGATCAAAAGCATTGCTATTTCCTTTTTTGCCCACTCCAGAATCTAGGTCCTACAGAAGGGAGAATACTTGGGTGGGGAGGACCTTCAGGGTGTGTGTGTGTGTGTATGCATGTGTCCACAGATAAACGCATACAAAACCGAAGGGATGTTGAGGAGGGATGGTGGTCCAGGGACAAGGGACTCTAAATACCTACTCTAAGTACCTGAAAAAGGGGGTTCTGCTTATATGTCCCACAAAAACACCACCACCACTACAGCTAGTTGCCATCGGTTTGATCCCAACTCATGAGGACCCCATGTATATCAGAGTAGAGCTGTGCTCCATGGGGTTTTCAACCACTGATTTTTCAGAAGTAGATCATCAGACTTTTGAGTGGACTTCAACCTCCAACTTTTCAGTTATCATATGGGCAGGTTACCTGTTTGCATTGCCCAGGGACTCTGAAGCATTGATGTTAGCAACTTCTCCATGCCCCTCCTAGAACATCCCTGAATATAAATAGCCAGTGATGTTTGTAGGTGAAAATGCTGGGGCCTATGCTTTCATCGTGGGAAAGTGTAGAGCTGCAATGGAGCCTCAAAGTATAGAGTGAGATGCTCAATGCTGTCTGCACTCTATTTGCTGCCCTTCTTGTGGAGGGCCATTTCTGTTGAATGATTGTTGTACTTATTCCTGACCTTCCCCTGATCTCTTGGGTCATGTGCTGATGCTGGGTGTTGCTGTGTAAGCACATTGTACTTGGCCTCAAAATCCTGCCATATGCCTTCTCTCCATTTATTTTGACTGGGTAATGACTATGGGGTTCACCACTTTACTTCTGACTTTTGTTGTCTGTTGTTAATTGCCCTCGAGGTCCTCCGACTCTTGGTGACCTGATGTACAACAACTTGAAACACTGCCCAGGCAGGTGCCATCCTCATGGTTTTTTATATGTTTGAGCTTATTGTTGTAGCTATTGTGTCAATCTATTACCATTGTTTTTGCTGACTCTCTACTAAACATGATGCCCTTTTCTAGTGATTGGTCTTTGCCGATAATGTGCTCAAAGTAAGTGGGTGAAATCTCACCATCCTAGCTTTTAAGGAGTGCTCTGATTTTATTTCTTCTAAACCTTTGTATTTCTGGCAGTCCACCCAACCAAACCCAATCTACTGTAATCGAGTGGATTCCAATTCCTAGTGACCCTATAGGATTTCCAAGGCTGTAATCTTTATGGAAGCAAAGCCCAAACCAAACCCACTGCCCTTGAGTCAATTCCAATTCTTACTGATCCAATAGGACAGAGTAGAATTGTCCTTTAGGGTTTCCAAGGCTGTCAATCTTTACGGAAGCAAATTGCCTCATCTTTCTCCCATGGTAAGTTCAAACTGCCACCCTTTTGGTTAGCAGCCAAGTACTTTAACCACTGGGCCATCAGAGCTCCTTTCAGGCAGTCTGTGTATAGTCTATATTATTCAGTAACACTATAATTCAAATGCACCAGTTCTTCTGTCTTCTTTTTTCTGACATTTACTTGGCTGTAAATTTTAATCATGGCCTTCTGTACCATCATTGGGGTACTACTAGTTGTCGTGAGGAGTTGTAGTTTAAAGCAGAGATTTAAGGGGTCAATATTCAGGCTCTGGGTCTCATCTCTACCTCTTCAGAATACAGGACTCTGGCAAATCATTTTGCCTCTCTGAGTCTCAGTATCTTCATCTGTAAAATGGTAATAGTACCGGCCTCTACAGAATAGTTGTAGAGGATTACATATGATGTGTTTGTAAAGTGCTTGGCACAATACTTGACACACAGTTGTTGTTGTTGTTGTTATGTGCCGTCGAGTCAGCCCCGACTCATAGCGACCCCTCCTTGAGTTTCCGAGGCAGTATCACTACGGAAGTAGGATTGCCCAACCTTCCACACAGTACGTGCTCAAAAAATACCAATCATTAGTATTGTTTTTGTTTACTCACCCCTTTGCCTTCAACTTGATCATCAGAATTTCCCCAGCTGTCTTTTGCCTCTGGACCTTAGGTAATGTGTATTATTTCACTTACTTCCATCCACATGTCAATTTTGGCTTCCTATCTTCAGAGTCCTGCCTTATGGACCTTCTGAAGGACTGCACATCAGTCCTCAAGAACCCTTCCATGGTCTCATATTACATGGCTTCCTTTCCCTTTACGCTATACTCCAGTTTCCCTTTCCTCCTGTTTATTTCCTTCTTAGCACTTGTCTTAGTTTGTAGTATTACTATAACAAAAATACCACTAGTGGATGGCGTTAACAAACAGAAATGTGCTTTCTCACATTTTAGGAGGTTAAAGTCTGAATTCAGGGCCCTGGCTCTAGGGGAAGGCTTTCTGTCTCTGTCAGCTCTGGGGAAGTATCCTGGTCTCCTTTCTGTGGGCCTAGTGTCCCTTGGAAATCTCCATGTGTCTTGGCATCAGTCTTCCCCTGGGTCTAGGAGGTTTTCAGCACCAGGACTCCAGGTCCAAAGGATGCATTCACTTCCAGCTCTTCTTTCTTAGTAGTACTGAGGTGGCTCTTTCTCTACTTGCTTGTTTCTCCTTTTATCTCTTGATGAGGCATTTGGCTGCTAACCAGAAGCTCAGTGGTTCAAACCCACCAGCCTCTCTGTGGAAGGAAGATGGGGCGATCTACTTCTGTAAAGATCAACAGCCTCGGAAACCCAATGTGAGTTTTTATGAGTTGGCATCGACTCTATGACAGTGAGTTTGGTTTGGAGTTTGGAAGGTAGAAGATGATGTGGCCACACCTCAGGGAAAGTCCCCTTTATATTGGATCAGGGCTGTGACTTGAGTAAGAATAATGCGTCCCACCTTAGTACCCTTACAACTGACTGGCTGATCATGTCAGATCACATGATGGGGAGTGAGTACATCATTACATAACTGCCAAACCACTGAAAATCATGCTCCAGCCAAATTGACAGACATTTTTTGGGGACACATTGCAATCCATGACAGCACTTTTCAAAATTTCTGATGTCTCTATGGAGTCCCTGGGTAGTACAAATGGTTGAGCGTTAGACTACTAGCTGAAAGGTTGATGGTTCTAACTCACCCAGAGATGCCTTGAAAAATAGGCCAGGTGAACTGCTTCCAAAACTTCTCAGCCTGGAAAACCCTATGAAGCATTTCTACTTAGCACATGTGGGGTCTCTATGAATCTGCATCAACTTGACAGCCATGAACAACAACATCATTATCCCTGTCTGTTTACATTGTCTATCTGTCTGTGTCCCTTGATTGTCCATGAGTTCTGGGAAGGCAGGGACTTCATTTGCCAGGATTACCACTCTAGCTGCTCCAAGGCCAGCACTGTACTGGACTCAATGAATTGTTGGATGAATATAAAATAATGATGTGAGTCGTAGGGCAGACCCTTACATGAGCCACAGGAAAGGACAGTTCCTGAAGGTTTCATGGGCCAAAGATGGGGGTGGCAACACCATGCTCTTCTCTTTCTAAAAAAGCATAGTCAGCTTTCTGCTTCATTGCTAAAGAGGAAATTTAATAGGTCACAAAACAATCTCTTTTGTTCTTAAGTAATACTCTCATGGTCTATGGAGGGACTAATGACATGAAGCTGATTGGATGGCTGATAAAGAATACCAGCCAGTTAAACATTTATTGCTCATTAAGAAACCCAGTAAAGCTCCACCCTCTTTATCTCTAAAAGTAAACTGCCGGCTCTCTTTAGCTGAATGACAGTCATCATCACGTGACAAAAAGTCAAACATTAACCTGACGCATAGATAGGTTCCTGTGATATGTAATCCGAAGACAGGGAACCTTTGGAAGAGCACAGTCCCAGTAGCAAATGCAGGGCACCATGGCCGCAAGGTTGCAGGGTCCACGTCCGCTTGTCCTGGGCCTACTGCTGTGCATGCTTAGCGCCATGGGGTCTCAAGGCGGGAAGCTGCTGGTGATCCCGATGGATGGCAGCCACTGGCTCAGCATGGTCAGTGTCGTCCAACAGCTGCAGCAGAGGGGACATGAAGCAGTTGTAGTGACCCATGAGGCATCTGTGCTCATCAAGGAAGACACATTTTACACCTTGAAGAGGTACCCTGTGCCCTTCCAAAAGAGGGACTTGGAAATGACTTTGGTCAGTCTTGGGCGTAGTGTTTTTGAGACAGCGCCCTTTTGGCAGCAAGTGGTCGAAATATACAAGAGAATCAAAGAGCATGCCAGTATGTTGTTTTCTGCTTGTTCTCACCTACTGCACAACAAGGAGCTCATGGCCTCCCTGATGGCCGGTGGCTTTGAGGCTGTGTTGACAGACCCCTTCCTTCCTTGTGGCCCCATTGTGGCCCAGTACCTATCACTGCCTGCTGTGTTCTTCTTGAATGGCTTGCCATGCAGCTTGGATTTTGATGGCACCCAGTGCCCCAATCCACCATCCTATGTTCCCAGGTCTCTGTCTGTGAACTCAGATAGCATGACCTTTCTCCATCGGGTGAAGAACATGCTGATCGCCTTCACTGAATCCTTCATGTGCAGTATGGTTTATTCACCATATGCGTCATTAGCCTCTGAAGTCCTTCAGAAAGACATGACTGTCCAGGACATTTTGAGTTTTGGGTCTGTCTGGCTGCTCAGACGTGACTTTGTAAAGGATTACCCCAGGCCTATCATGCCCAACATTGTTTTTGTTGGTGGGATCAACTGCCTTCCCCAAAAACCACTATCCCAGGTGTGTATATGAGTGGAAGCTCTACATGCTTGTATTCTTGCAAATCCTTTTGGATACACGAACTTGCCAAATGTTGTGTGTGTGTGTGTGTGTGTGTGTGTATTCAGATATATGCTGAATGGGCATGCTTAGGTAGTTTATAATGCCTGTTTTGGTTAATTTCTACCTTGCACATCTCCTAGGTCTCTGTTATAGTTTATACCTGCCATTTGGCAACAGCTTCTGGGTTATTTGTCACTGAGACTTGAGTCACTGTTGAGTTGATTCTGACTCATGGTGACCCACAGGGTTCTCAAGCATGTCATCTTTCAGAAGTAGATTGTCAGTCCTCTTTTCCAAGGCACTTCTGGGTAGGTTTGAACTGCCAACTTTTTGGCTAACAGTTGAGAACTTAACCACTTGGGCATCCTATTCAGTGTGCTTCAGTGGATGGGAATGCATTAGATGCAACAAGTGCTAAATGTCATCATCACAGAGCACTGTGTTCAGGTCACCACACTGGAAACAAAGGTGAACAGCACACACCTGGACCTTGAATCAGGCATTTGACCTTGATCGGGCCAGGTACATGAGATTCAAGATTGATTCAGTAGTTATTTGACATCTGCAGAGCCTGGCAGGGAAATCTGCCTTTATGGTCTTAGCTAAAGCTTCAGTTTGGGTATATTTTGATAGGCATGTGTCTCATTCCCTGAAATGTTCATTTTTTTCCCTGCAGAGTTTGAAGTAGCATGCACATCCTCTTCAATATCCCAGTGGGTGATAGAGACTGGCAGGAGGTGCTCCTTCAGATGGAGGTCCAGGAAAGGTCTCCTCAAGGGGGTGGCATTCCAGTGAAAACCCATTTATTTATTCATCAGATATTGGTCTGTTGGCCAACCCAGGTGCTTCTAGTGCTGAGACTGGCTCCTACAAAGGACTATTTATTACTCATTCAAATTACTGAATTTTAATTCCCATGGTTTGTGCAATATAGTTCATGTTTTAAATAATCATGGCAAGGAGAAACCTTGGGTGACAGAAAGAACAGCAAGCAAGAAATCAGGTGCCACTGTTGAAACCTTCACCGCATCACTGTGTGTCTTAGTTTGCTGGTGGCTTTAACAAACAGAAATTTATTTTCTTACAATTTAGGAGGCTAGAAGTCTGAATTCAGGGCACTGGCTCTAAGAGAAGGCGCGCTCTCTCTGTCCATTCCACGTCTCGGCTTCTGTCACCTTGGCATTGCTTGGGTCCTTGACGATCTCCATATGGCATCTGTCTTCCTCTATTTGTGCATCTTTGCTTCAGTGCCTAATCTGAGGTCTAATATGGTCTAATTAACATAACAAACAATATTCTACTTCCAAACGGAATTATATTCACAGGTATAGGTTTAGGATTATTTAAAAAAAAAATTATTGTGATTTGGGTGCAGATTTACAAAGCAGATTCATTTTACTCTCAACATTTGGTTTCATGGCCCCGATTACAATCCCAACAACAAAAAGGTCTCCTATCTCCCCCACACCCGTGACTACCCCTTCCCTGTGCCCTTCTTCTCTATGCAGTCCTGTCTGTCCTGCTTTCCCTGTATGCAAATGCTGCCCTTCTGATGTCTCATGGTTGATTGATCTAAGGGGTGCATCTCCCTGGGGTAGATGTAGGCCTTTCTTCTGTTTGGCTGAGAGCTAATTCATGGGACTCTAGTTCCAGGGTATAGAACCCATGTTTTGGGGGCATACATTTCAATCCATAATACCATGTGGCCACAATTTCTCCACCTCACTCTGTGGGGCTCTGATTCCTCATCTTCAGTGTGGAGAGAGAGCTAGTGGCCCCTCAAAGATATCCTGACTCAATGATTCTGAGATCCCATGACCTTGGATGAATTGTGTTGGATGGGGTGATCTGGTTATTAATTGATTACAAGTCAAACAAGAAAACATAGTAGTAGAGAAAGCATTCAAAATTCTCTTTTAGAGAAAGGAAAAGGAATAGGAGAAGTAATACCAAACCAAGGAGCAAAGCTCAGGTCAAAAGGAAAATATCTGGCAGCATCTCCATATTAGAGAGACATTAAAGAGAAATGTTATGGCATTGTTGTGAAGGATTAAAAACCAAACAATCAAGAAAACACAATTGTGTTTCACATTTACTTTGAAATTTAAGACTTTGAAAACATGCATGCATACGTAGTGGGAATTCCAATAAAAATGGAAGGTGTTTTCTGTCCATCTGTATGGACAATGTCCAGTCACACTGGCCTTCTGTCCATTTATGATACATTCCTCATTAAGAAACCCAGTAAAACTCCACCCTCTCTGTCTCTAAAATTTATCTCAAAATTCCTTCTCAGTTCAGGAAACTCAAACACACTGTTTCCTCTTTCGGAGATGCTCTTCCTTGTATTTGTCACATGGATGTCTTCTTCTTTTTCAGATCTTGGTGTGAATGTCACTCGATGGGATCATTCTGTGTTCTTTCCTTCACAGCACATCAAAAACTGTGATTATTCCATTTAACTAATCACTTATTGATGGTCCCTCCACTCCATGAGCCATGCAGGGAGGGACCTTGTCTGCCATATGCTGTATTCTTAACAGCTGGCAAAGCATCTGCATGTGGTGGTTGTTGTTAGGTGCCACTGCGTCCACTCTGACTCATAGCAACCTATGTAGAACATAATGAAACACTGTCCGGTCATGTGCCATCTTCACAATCCTTGCCATACCTGAGCCCATTGTTACAGCCACTGTGTCAATCCATCTCATAGAATGTGTTTGCCTTTTCCACTGACCCTCTGCTTTAGCAAGCATGATACCCTTCTCCGGGGAATGGTCCCTTCTGACCACATGACCAAAGTAGGTGAGATTAAGCCTGGCCATTCTTGGTTCCAAGGAGCATTCTGGCAGCACTTCCTCCAGGACAGATTTGTTTGTTCTGTCAGTCCATCGTATTTTCAGTATTCTTTGCCAACACCATAATGCAAGGGCATCAGCTCTTCTCCAGTCTTCCTTATTCATTGTCCAGCTTTCACATGCGTATGAGGTGACTGAAAATACCATGGCTTGGGTTGGGTGGACCTTAGTCTTCAAAGTGACATCTTTGTTCTTAACACTTTAAAAAGGTCTTTTGAAGTTGATTTGCCCAGTGCAATACAGTGTCTGATTTCTTGACTGCTGCTTCCATTGTGTTGATTGTACATCCAAGTAAAATGAAATCCCTGACAACCCCAATCTTTTCTCCATTGATCATGATGTTACTTATTCGTCCATGGTGAGGATTTTTGTTTTCTTTATGTTGAGGTGTAATCCATACCAAAGACTGTAGTCTTCGATCTTCGTCAGTAAGTGCTTCAAGTCATCTTCATTTTCAGCAGACAAGGTTGTGTCACCTACATATTGTAGGTTATTGACGAGTCTTCCTCCAATGCTGATACTGCATTCTTCATATAGTACACCTTCTCAGATTCTTTGCTCAGCATACAGACAGAATAAGTGTGGTGAAAGAATACAATCCTGACACACACCCTTCCTAATTTTAAACCATGCAGTAGCCTCTTGCTCTGTTTGAACAGCAAACTCTTGGCCTATGTTCAAATTCCTTATGAATACAATTAAGTGTTCTGGAATTTCCATTCTTTGCAATGTTATCCATAATTTGTTTTGATCCACACAGTCAAATGCCTTTGTGTAGTCAATAAAGCACAGGTAAACATCTTTCTGGTATTCTTTGCTTTTAGCCAAGATCCCTCTGACATCAACAATGATATCCGTCATTCCATGTCCTCTTCTGAATCTGGCTTGAATTTCTAGAAGTTTTCTTACTGCTATAACCAGTTTTGAATTTTACTTGCATGTGAGATTAATGATAATGTTCAATAATTTCCACATTCTGTTGGATGAACTTTCTTTGGAATGGGCACAAATACTCAGTTTGGCCAAGTAGCTGTCTTCCAAATTTCTTGGCCTAGACAAGTAAGTGCTTCCAGCACTGTATCCATTTGTTGAAATATCTTAATGGGTATGCCATCAATTCCTGGAGCCTTTTCCCCCATCCCCTAATTCCTTCAGTGCAGCTTGCATTTTCTTTTTCCATGCCCTTGGGTCTTAACCATATGCTACCTTCTGAAATAGCTGAACATTGACCAATTCTTTTTGGTACAATGACTGTGTATTCCTTCTATCTTCTTTTGATGTTTCCTGCATTATTCAATATTTTGCCTATAGAATCCTTCACTATTACTACTCGAAGCTTGAATCTTTCCTTCAGTTCTTTAACCTTGAGAAATGCTGAGCGTGCTCTTCTCTTTTGGTTTTCTAACTCCAGGTCTTTGCACACTTCATTATAACACTTCACTTTGTCTTCTTGAGCTGCCTTTTGAAACCTTCTATTCAGTCCTTTTACTTTGTCATTTCTTCCATTTGCTCTAGCTACTCTCTGTTCAAGAGCAAATTTCAGAGTCTCTTCCAACATCCATTTTGGACTTTTCTTCCTTTCCTGTCCTTTAGATGACTGTTTGCTTTCTTCATGGATGATGTTCTTGATGTCATCCCACAACTCATTTGGTTTTTGGTCATTGGTGTTCAATGCATCAAAGCTATTCTTCAGGTGATCTCTAAATTTATGTGCGATATACTCAACATGATATTTTGGCTCTTATGGATTTGTTTTAACTTTCTTAAGCTTTAATTTGAACTTGCATATGAGCAATTGATGGTCTGTTCCACAGTCAACTCTTGGCCTTATTTTGACTGATGATATTGAGCTTCTCCATTGCCTTTTCCCACAGATGTAGTCAGTCTGACACCTGTGTATTCCATCTGGCAAGGTCCATGTGAGCCATCATTTATGTTGTTAAAAAAAAAAAAAAGATATTCGCAGTGAATAAATCATTGGTCTTGTGAAATTCTATCATGTAGTCTCCAGCATCATTTCTATCACCAAAGCACATGGTTGGTGTCCCATAAATATCAGCACCAAGCCCATCTAAGAGGCACTCAGAAAATACTTGTTAA